ACATGAGTCGAGCGAAGCGCGTGACTGTCGCCCTGTTGAGCAACCCCTTGGCCACCTTAATCCTGTCCAGCCCTTTCGCGCCAACCCATTGCACGCGCATACAAATGACTTACTGATTGACTCTCTCTGTGCGGACTTTGGTGGTCGTTCGCCAGCAGCAAATTAGCCGTGTTCATGTGGTCCAACGGGCCAATGTAAAAGCCACTAACACCGCAAAGCCCAGCTCTGTGCCTGCCCCTGCCCCCTACCCTTTGCACGAACGCAGTTCATTTGCAATTGAAGGGTAGCCTGAGTTTGTCCAAAAATGGCCAGCGCAATTAATTAAAAAGTTTGCTGCAAAAACTGCAGGGACAGCATCTGTGCATCAGGGGAGTGCGGTGTGGTTGGGTGGCACAGGTTTCCAGTTTGATGGACAAAGCTCCAAAAATATTTATGCAGCTGGCAACAGTGGCAACTGGCAACTGCCATTGTCTGTGTGTGCGTGCAAATTGAAATTGCGCATACGACAGGTGGCTCAGCGCTAAAAATATTCAAAAGCTGAAGCGAAAATAGCAAAGAGAAAATAACATAAATAGTGAAGATATTTGGATAAGTAACCAAAATAATTTGAAACTTTACTTAAAGCGTTGGACACACTCCATTCAAGTCAAAAGGGAACTTGAGCTGGGGTTAAACCAAGCATTGACCACACTCTATTGAAGTCGAAAGGCAACTTGAGGTGGGGTTAAGCCAAGCATTGGCCACACTCTATTCAAGTCAAGAGTCAACTTAAAATCAGGTTAAGCCAAGCGTTAGTCACACCAAAGACAATATAAAGACTAAGATGAGTAACGCCATACAACAAAATGTTTCTATGCAGCTTGATTTTTTGAAAATTGAAAACGCAAACAAAATCTGTATCATTGCGCTCTCACAGCCAAGAGAGCAAAAAGCTAAAAATAGAATGTACTCTTAGCTTCGGTTCTATGAGGGCCGTGCAAGCAATTATGTTTGTATATGTGTGCATATACATACATAACAGAATATTTAAATGTGTTGTTATCCACTGCTCTGGCAAAGAAAAATATTTTCTTAGTTTTCAAGCGCTGATCATGACCTATCCCAAATTTGTGTTGACTTATGAATGCATGTTTTGTACTGAGGTTGGCTTCGTAAAAAATATGTATTTTTAAGTCGATGCAAATATTTATATTTATGTGGATACGAAATTGGGGTAGGTCATGATCAGCGCTAGAAAACTAACAAAATTAATTTCTTGCCAGCTAAAGCTAGAGCAGCGATAAACAACACATGTACACATATTTTAAAATTCTTATACATGCATAATTCACGCATACAACCAAAGGTGGTTGCACGCCATTGGCTGAGACAAGAACTTTTCTCGAGCATACACTGTTCAAAAACAAAAGTGAAATCAATCTATGTGTGCTTTTTTCTTAACATAGTTATTGCACAAGATGCGCCTTGTGTAAAAATTATTTAATTCTAAGAATTCGCTGCTCGTATCAGAATCAGCAAACCGCGACTTGGGCATTCGTTCGTCTAAATGAACAGCAGTCGGCTGCCATGTCGTACGAAATCGTAAAAGCCAGTTTAGGAATCCAGCCTAGAAATTTTGCGTCGCATGCAAATGTATATATAAGATAAGTAACGCTATCTTATTGTTAAGATTGTCTTTGGTCACACTCTATTCAGGTCTAAAGCCAACTAAAAATGAGAAAGGAAGGCTATCTTCGGCACGCCGAAGATCTAATACCCTTGCAGACCCAACCTATTCATAATGCTCATTGTGCTTTGCTCGTATTTAAGAAGCACAGGGAAAATAGTTAATGCTGAGTTTGGTCAAGATATCTTGATAAACGAAAATGTTTTTCATACAACTTAATTTTCGACAGATCGTTCCGATAGCAGCTATATGATACATTGGTCCGATCCAGCTGGTTCTTGTATATGTATTGCGTGCAAAAGAAAAGCGCCTCTTTCTGCAAAGTTTCACAAAGATAACTTTAAAACTGAGAGACTAGTTCGCATAGAAACAGACAGACGGACAGATGGAAATGGCAATATCAACTCCGCTGTTGATACTGATCATGAATATATATATATATTTTTATGGGGTCGGAGATGTCTCCTTCTATGCGTTACACATTTATCGACAAAATTATAATAGCTTCTGCAAGGTATAATGAGGTTAGGCCAAGCGTTGGTCACACAAACATAATTAAAATTGGTTAAGCCAATTAGTTTACACACGTCTAAAGGCAACTAAATTTTGGGCTAAGCCAAACGTTGCGCACACTTTTTTCAAGTATAGATCAAACTTGAGATGGATAGCGCTTTTTGCAATCAATTGGATGCGAGTTTTCTTCTTTTGAACAAATTAATATAGCCCTTACTCCTAAGATAAAAGCCAAGATTTCAGCAATTAAGTAATTTGAATAGAGGTGGCCAAAGTGAAACTTTCAGCTTTGAGTGCACGCCAACTACAAATGCAAACTAATTGCATTTTTTTTCGCCTACGTCCGGCACAAAGATTGAATTTATTTTGTAGCCAGGCTTAAATTGTTGCACACTGTTGGGATAATGAGGCATGAAAAGCAGCAGCAGCTGAAGTGAGTGGCTAGAAGTACACTGGCCTCACCGGTTTATGTCTGAGTCGGGCCAACTGCTACTTGGCCAAATTGTTGCCGGGTTGTAAAAAGTTTACAGCCACGCGTCAGCCAGCTCAACGTGGAGTTGGGCATAAATTTTGCATGCGACTCGGCTACATGTGAAATCTTCACTTGCGGCTCCTGTTGTTCCTGTTCTTCCTGTTGTTTCAAGTTCCTGGAAAGGAAGCTACCGCCAACCTGCTGTGATTTATTCAATCAACTTGTGCGTCGCGCCAACAGCTCAAGTTCCTTTTATTATTTAGACATCTTTTGCTCTGCTTCTCATTACCCTTGCTGTTGTTGTTGTTTGTGCGCTACCTTATGCGAATTTAATGTCACTTGGCTGGCTAAGACAACCTTGTTGCCACATTTAATCTGCATAATTTTTATGAAACAACAACGGTAACAATTGAGCTACATTCTATGCCGCAGGCTATTGTCGGCGACGGCTTACGCGTCGTATGCGCAATATGCCAAATGCTTTACATATATTGTTGCATACTTTTTGGAGGCTGGTTTATTTAATTGCCTCGGCGCACACGCCGCGTATGCGTAATGAAAACAGAAATTGCAAATGATTTCTTTAATGAGCAGCTCGGAAATTATCAGGCAAGCTATTGCTTCGGAGCAGTTGTTTTTTTTACATTTGAATAAAAACCAAAAGAGGAATTTATTTATTCAAATAATTTCTGGTTAATTTGGAAAACGGGCTCAGTTGTAAAATTAAAATTGTTCATTACAATTTATTCAAATCCCTTTGAGCTGGAACATTATTAAACCGAGCTTTTAAAAAATATTTTTAGTAAGGATCAGCACATCTGATTGGCATTCAAAAGCAGCCATTTGAGGTGATTTTGGTTGTCGGCTCCCCGTAGATAAGTTGTATTTCTATTGCTCTAATTTATGCAAATTCAAAGCAAGCACTGCGAAAGGGTCAGCCGTGACCTTTGGTTTCGTCAGTTGAGGGGGCGGGGGCTCAGGTGAAATGTGTTACAAAAATAAACCTGAATGAAATGTGTGTGCACCTGGGCAGCTGTCGCTCGCGCGTCATTTATTTCATTAAATATTTATCGTGCGACAGTTGCAATTAATTTAATTGACATACGGCCCAAGCAGTTGCGATTTTGCGGTCAATTTTCGCACGGCAACAGGTGCAAACTGAGCTGCTGGCAAAGGCTACAAAGGCTGGCATTTAATACATAAATCGCCCATTGCCATGGAGCTTCCGCAGCTGCTACCTTAGTCAACAGTAAGAGAAGGTGATGGCTCTCCCCCACCCTCCCCCTCTTCTGAATCCTTGCTAATTGCTGTGGCACGTGAACTTAATAGCCTCGACATGCAATTGATTCTCAAATTTATCAATTTGAATAAATAAGTTCGTCCTGACTGAGCCAAGTTTAAATGTTTAATTTTTTTTTATATCTTTATTTTGAGTCAAAAATAACACACATTTTTATTACAACACAGATGCTTAGGAAATGTTTCGTCAAACCTGGCGAACAATAGTGTCAAATGCGGCATTTTTATAAGTCGGGAGACTCTTAGGCATCCCCTCTGTCATGGTTGTAGGCGGTCCTTGAACGATCTTCGCCTAAGCCTCTTGACTACACACCTTCCAACGAGGTCCTCTGCTGCCCGGTTGCAGTGTCGTTTGTTGTACCTCTCCGATTTGGCTCTCTATGTTCGCCAATCTGTTGGCTGTTGGGATTTAGCCATTTGAAAGCTAAGCCCCTTTTATTCAGTACAACTCTAAGCTACTTGGCCCTTCTGCCAGGCTGTAGGGGTCTGTCATCTATCCAGATTGCAGGAGCCTTGTGTAGTTGACCGTCTGGCTTTTCGAGGCGAGCTACAATTTTTGCTAAATCTTCCTTCCTTTTGGGGTCGAAGGTGAGCACTAAGTCGGGTTCTTGGCATATTCAGCCGAAAAAACGTTGTAGTTTGTATGAACGTTCAAACGCTGGCAGACAAACAAGCGGCAGGTCGCCAGCTCAAATCCCGTATCAATTAAAGGTAAATTTAAGCGCTTTTGTGCCCGACTGACGTTAGCACATTGTTTGACCCGAGCGACGCCGGGTAATTACTTTTCTAGTTGGCACGAAAATCAGTCCAGCAATTCAGTTTAGTCGAGTCCAACGGGGTAATTAAACATTTTACAAACTCGACGCCCACCAACTAGCCCCGCCCACTAATAACAATTAGGGCTCGCAAAGCGCGACACTTGGCTGAAAACTTTTAAAAGCTCATTAATGCATAAATTAGGCTGTCGGCCGACCCGCCCAGCGTCGTTCGCCTTTAAATAGCCGCGCGGACCACGAAGATGAGCAGTTCGGGGAGCAAAACGCCCGAAGCATGGCCAGTCTGCAGTTCCATGGCGGCATCGAGGCGGGCATTGGCTATGCCCCACGGCCGCTTGACGCGTGTCGAGTGCCGCAGCTCTTTAGACTCCATCTCAGGATACAATTGCTGGTGGGCCTGATGCCCAAGCCGGCGCTGCCCGCTTGGTTGCCCACCTGGCTGCATTCGCTGCTCCGCCTGCTGGCGCTCCTCCATTGCCTGGTCGTGCTCTTCATAGCGTTGCATCTAGGCGTGCTGTTCTGCAAGACGACACTGGATGCTCTGCCGACGGGCAAGCTGGAGGACATAACCGATGCACTCACCATGACAGTCATCTACTTCTTTACGGCCTATGCCATCGGCTATTGGTGTGTTCACTCCGAGCGGCTGGTGCAATTCCTGTCCCACATCAATCGGGAATATCGCCATCATTCGCTCGCCGGCGTCAGCTTTGTGAATATGTACACTGCCTATCGCTGGGCGTGCAACTTTACGGCCATTTGGCTGATTTCCTGTCTCTCCGGCTGCATCTTCTGGGGCGTGACGCCCCTGGTCCTGGGTGTAAGGACTCTGCCGCTGCGCTGCTGGTATCCGTTCGATGCCATGGCCGTTTACGTCTATATTCTGGTGTATGCCACACAGCTTTACGGCCAGATTATTGTCGGCGCCACTTTCAGCTTTGGTGGCTTTATGTTCGTCTCTCTCTGCTTACTGCTGTTGGGTCAGTACGATGTGCTTTACTGCAGTCTCAAGAATCTGGACGCACATGCCCGGCTGCTTGCCGGTGAGTCTCTGCCGGCATTATGGTAAGCTCTACTAAATGTCTCCAATTTAACAGCTATAAAATATCTTGATTTCCTTACCTTTCTTTCGTACACAATCCTATCTGTACCTTTACTATTTAATTGTACCAAAAATTCTAAAAGAATATGTACCTTAAGTATTTCCTTTATTCAGTTTTATGTACTTCTGTATATACTTTATATTAAATCAGTTTAGCTTTCATAGAGAAGTGTAGCTCTTTCTGTAAAATCAGATCCAGTGTACATTTAAAAAAGTACCAATTATGGTACACATGCGATCACTCTCTTACTCTAGAACATACACAGTTCTTCGTTCATTTTGATAGTATTTTATTATACCACCAATTGGAAGACAATGCACATACAGTACTTTGAAAACAGTTTGACCTTCACATGTAGGTAGTGTACCTTTTTCTATACCATTTAATAAATGGTACATTTTCAGCACATGTCTCAGCTGTGACTCCAAAAACTTTCCTTACGTTCTAATACATACACAATTATTCTTTTATTCAAGAAGTTGTACCTTAAGGCTTTTCTACTTTTAAGTACTTATATAAAATTAGTTAAGCTTTTTCTTTTATTATTCTTTCATTTTGTAAGAAAATTCATTTTTCTGTCCAATGCAAGGCCTTTTAGTTAAGGCCTTTTAGTTAATTAAAATTAGAGAGAGAGGAAACTTTACGTATGTTACCATAGAGTAAACTGTCCTTTTAGGTACATTTGCAAAATTATTCTTTAATTTTGTAAAAAATACAATTTTACCAGCAAATGCCAGAAGTTGGGCCTTAAGGCTTTCGATTTTTAAATTAATCTCATATTTACAAAATCAAGTATGCTTTCATAGAATGGGAACCGTACCTAATTATATTTACAAAATCAAGTATGCTTTCATAGAAAGGGAACCGTACCTAATTGAGTAAACTATCAATTTAGATATATTTGCAAAATTATTTTTTCATTTCCTAAAAAAATAAATTTTACCAGCAAATGATAGATGTCCCTTAAAGTTTTTTGTATTTTAAAGTACTTTTAAATTAATTAATATTAAAATCGGTTAGGCTTTCATAGAGAGGGAACTGTGCCTTTGCTAAAATGTTAGATACATGTGCAGCACATTTAGCAAATCTCTCTCCCTCCACATAGTTCTTCTTCCATTTACCAACACGCACATATTTAAAAGAGTTGCCACCTGGGCCGACAAGCAACCAACTGTGGCGCATATGAATAAGCTGATTAGCCTAAGACCAATTCTAATATTTTTGCCAGCGATTTACAGCGGGAGCTGCTACTGGACGAATCGACCTGTGAGCTTGGTGAATATGCTTTGCTGCAGGAGCACTCGACGGATTTGGTCAATTTTATGTTAGCGCGCGGGCATCCGCTGGCACTGAGCCTGACAAGGGCCGCACATGCGGGGCTTGTGGAATGCGTGCGTTTGCATCGCTTTGTGCTGGAGTATGCCGCGGAGCTGGAGCAGCTGTTTAGCCCGTACTGTTTGATCAAATCGCTGCAGATCACGCTGCAGCTGTGCCTGCTCGTGTTCGTGGGCGTCTCCGGCTCACGGGAGGTGATGCGCGTGATCAATCAGTTGCAGTATCTATTACTGACCACCTTCGAGCTGCTCATGTTCACTTACTGCGGCGAGCTGCTGCACAGGCACAGCGTCCGCGTCGGGGATGCGTTTTGGCGTGGCGCCTGGTGGCAGCATGCACCCCACATGCGCCAGGATGTGCTCATATTTCTGGCGAACAGTCGCCGTGCCGTCCAGGTAACGGCCGGCAAGTTCTATGTCATGGACGTAAATCGTCTGCGATCGGTGAGCTTTTGAGTTGCTGTAACAAGTTTCTTTTTTACATTTTTTTACACCCTTAACTTGATGATAGGTTATCACGCAGGCGTTTAGCTTTCTGACGCTGCTGCAAAAGCTGGCCGCCAAGAAGACAGCCGTCGAATCCTAGGACCATGCCCATTGTTTGCCAGTGCTAATATTTATTTTGCTCATTAAAAACATGTCGAGTAAAATGCAAATAATATTTACATACGTTTCCGCCTCGTGCCTTTATTTGCTTAACATTCTACAACGCCCAACTCTCTCCGAGTGGGCGTGTCAATGCTTCCTCGTAAACGCCTTTGGCCTATCTTTGATAAGGAACTCGTGCCAACCCAACTCAAAACATGCAGAAGCAACAAGCCGAGATTTGAATGCCCTCCAGAAACGGCGGCAATTCAGTCTACATTATGTTTGCAGCCCATGTTAGCTAATTAGAACCTGGTTGTAAATTTCTAAACACAACAATATTTTATATGATGTACATTCAATTGAAATGCAGCTACTTATGGTAAGTGCATACTATAGCTCTATATACCCATATGTATTTCATTTTTAGAAGCCACTTTATAATTTATTTTTGTGCTCTCGAGTGCCATAACAAATAATATGCTGCTATTCAAGGAAAATGAAAAAGAAAAGAAAACAAAAACCAGCCTGTGCCTATCTCTAGAGTAAAGTTCTCAGATTTGCCAAACAGCCTAAAAGTCGACTTTAATTTTGGTGAGCGCGCGACGCACGTACGAAAACTTATGGAAAAGTTTTCAACTCATTTGCGCTTTGCATTTTTCATTGTGCCAAAGACACGCACACATAGGCCATGAGTGTGTTTGCGTGTGCGTGTGCGTGTGTGTGAGTGTGTGTATGTGTGTGTGCAAGCAACGAGTGTATTTATTGTAAGTCATTTGTTTCTGTTTTTTGCGCCTGCCTTTTTTGAGGCACCCACGTATTTCCTTTGTTGTAATACCATTGAAAATGTTCAAAAGAGGGTATATTACAATTGAATAATTGTATGTAGCAAGCAGATTAAATAAATAATAAAATAATAAATAAAATAAATTGTTGATCAATATAGAATGCAGTTTATGCAAAGATCTGACTTGGCCCTCAATGATCCCATTATAAAATGTTTTCAAAAGTTTAATGGATTTTTAATGGATTTTAATTACATTGCCCCTTACCAAATGCTATAAATAGGTTATATTACAATTAAACAAATATATGCAGCAGGCAGATAAAATAAATGATATATATAAATTCTTGGTCAATATAGTTTGCAGTTTATGCAAAGATCTGCCTTAGCTCGAGATGATTCATTTTAAAATAAAATTTAAATGAGCGATTTATTTATTTATATATTTTCTTTTAATGCTAATCGATAGTTCTGACAAAGAGGTATATTAACAGAAACCCAGATGAATAATCTCAAGATATTTCAATCATATGAGTTCGCCCGAACGACGCCTTTTTATGTAATTTTAATTTTTTTTTATGTGTGTAAATATTTATACTAAAACTTAAGCTGATTACAGGGCATCTCCCAGTCGGTCAGCCTCGAGACAAGCAAGCTTGTTTTGTTTTTGGTTGTGTTTTCGCTTTTGTTTGTGTGCTTGTTAGATTATTACCTTTTTGCTCATTGTACTTTTGGTATTTCGTGTCGTTTCGGAAATACCTTTCACTTTGTCGATTTATTCCTTTGCCAGCTAACTACCTTTATGCGTGTCTGCAGGAGCCAGCACATTTATATTACCTGATATTTGATAAGCGCAATGCACAGCAGCAGCAGCAGCAGCAGCAGCTGTAGATAAATGTGATTGCCATATTTCTTTGTCATCCTGGCAACCAGGTCGATCTCACTTGAGCTTGCGGCCATAATGAGACGAAACCGCGTAGAATTACGCCTCAGCTTTGAGCTGCCATGTCCAAAGAAAGAACAAAATGCATTTAATGGCAACTGCAAGCTGAGCCTTAAACAAATCGAATTGCATTCAGACCGAATGAGCCACTGATAGATGAATTGATTGAATTGACAACACCATCTGCTCGTCCAAAGGGCATTGATTGCACATTTGCTTGTTTTCTTCAGCTTCTTAAGTTTCAACATCTATTTTGGTAGTACAAATAGCATAATTTCTATATATAAAACTGTTTATCCTTGTTGACTGACTGACTAACTGACTTACTGACTGACTGCTTGACTAAGTGACTGATTGACTGATTGACTGACTGACTGACTAGCAGACTGACTGATTGACTAACTGACTGACTGATTGACTGACTGACTGACTGATTGCCTGCTGATTGATTTTACTGTAGTTACCTTATGGGATGAAGGTGCATGTTCAGACGGAGTTTCGGGAAATTCCACCCGCAAGTGTTACAAAATCGCGAAATACGTTTGTATGAAAATCTTTTGTTTACCATCCGATCTGCCTCAAGCTCATTTTCAAAAGATCTTTGTTCAAATTCATTTGAGGGGTGTTTCACACTTTTTGAAAAATCCATTCTTCCCCTAGAGGAAATGGGAGCCAAAGACTTGGCGGGTGGCGTTTCGCGCTCCAAATTCATTCCCAAAGAACTTTATGAAAAATCATTTGAGACAGGTATTATACTTTTTGCAGAATCAAAACTTCTTCATCAGTGTCAAAATTATATTTAAAGCTTTTTGGCAATATTTTAATTGATATACTTGAGGCAAAGTGCTGGGGTTGGGTGAAACTCGCTGGTAAAGCAATAGAACATAAATATTCTCTAAATGCCTAGACTCTTATGCTAGATATTTAACTTACTTAAAGCCTTAATTTTTCGCTCCCTCCATCGCAACAGGCTAAGGTCGAAGCTTCAGCTGCCTTCCAAAAAATGTTTGTGGTCCGGCCCTGAAATGCGCGAAAATATGTTTATAAACTAATTTGTTTTGTTTTTAAGCGTAGTAGCTACACTTGAATTGGCCCCATGCAAAGTTGAGTGCATGAATAACAATCTTCTGGCCATTTGTTTGGATAGCGGATGCCAGCTGTCTGTCATTGGCCTGGCAAACAGCCAGACAAATATCTAGGCCCGCATGGCATTTGCCATTGACGAGGCCGCGCTGCAGGCAAAAGGACCTGTCGACAACTTTGAAGTAGTCTCCTCCAAATTAAATTAACACAAAGGCATCTCTCGCTTCAGCATTTTCCACTGACAGCTGGCGGCATTTTAATTGAAAGCAATCAATAACAACGCGCACAACTCTTCCAACTTCAACCGAAGTATTTGCTGCCAGCTGCCAGAGATTTGCAATGAACGCGGCTACCCAAAGCCATAAAATATATCACACAACAATATTCATTAAATAGCTTTAGTCTATATAATACATTTCATGAACGTATTTTAGGAACTTTATTGTTCCGCTTGATAAACCAACTTTATGAACTTATCTTATAAACTGATAGTCCTGTAAAGTAAGCAAAAACAGATGCACGTTATACAACACTTTTGAGAATATTTGCCTGTCGCTGGCGCGTTGTCACTTTTTTCATTTCGTCAATTTGCAAGTGCTGACTAATAACGCCTAGATAAAAAAGTTCAACAACGTATTTAAGGAACTTTAGTGTTCTAATTTTATGAACTTGAATCATAACCAGACAGTCCTGTTAAGCAACTAAAAATAGATGTACGTTTTCCAGCACTATTGGGAGTATTTGCCTTTCGCTGACGTGTTGCTACCTTGCTTCATTTCGTAAATTTGCAAATGCTGACTAATAAAGATTGATTTAACTCAATTAATTGTATTTAAAACTAACTCTATTGTTCATTACTCAATTATTTCGCTTGGCTCGTCTTGGCTGTCTTATTTTATTAGTATGATTCTGCAATCATTTGCACACACTTCCTTGGGTGCCTGTCATTTTGTCACATAATCAAATTAAACAGCCCACACACAACATTTTGTTATACCTTTTGGCTAATTTAATTTACCTGCTAATATTCAATTTGAGACTCATGCTTGAGTTTTCAGTTAAGACTCGATGAAATATTTTTGTGCATTTAGAATTTAATTGGCTCGTACAACCTGTCGCATACGTAATGTCCTTGTTGGTGCTTTAGAATGCTTTTGTCAGCGTGTTGCTGTCATAAATTGCAAATAACCAGCAGCGTTTTGGCCTGTAGGTGCACACACGCACACACACGCGCGTACACACACACACAATCAAAGTGACTAAACAAAGGCCACGTATAATTTCCCATCGAGGCAGCTATTTTGTCTGTGTCCTTGTGAGTGTGTGACTGCGTTGAAGGTCCTAGCTAGCTGCCCACACAAGAAATAATACCATATGAATGTGCACAATCATTTTCGAAGCGCGTTGCAATGCTAGCATACAATTAATCGCTGCCAAAGGCATTTTGCTGTTGTCGTATCTCCGGGTGGCATCTCCATATCTGTCCTAAATTATTTGATTTTGATTGACATAATACTATTATAGGTGCTGCATTGTTATACTCGCCCTTGTCAGGCAAAGCAGCTTTGGCAATCCAGAGAAATTGCATTGCACAAACCCAATTGGAATGGACATAAAATGCGCAACAAGCAGCTTTGTCCATAAATCAATGAAATCGGGCGCACAGAATAGACTGGCATTCAAACGGACGCCTGCACTTGATATATCGATGTCTCTAGCATTTTTTTCCTCTCCAAGAGCTTAAAACAAGAAATGGCCACAAATAATCATTAAGAGTCATTTAATACCCTACCATAGTTTTTATTTTTGGTTTATTTATGCACAACAAAGAAGTGAAAACCCTTTGGTCAGGAGTATAACTAATAAACTCACAATGATTATTAAGTGTTCCTTATTTCTGCGGGCTTTAGAAAACTCTAGGGTATTGTCTAATCGTTCATTTTTGTGTTTGTCTCTTGTTCCCTTTGCTTCACATGCAATTAAACCAAAATTTAACGCCAACTGTGCCCATTTTCTTTGCTGTAAACAAATATAAATGAATGAATAAATACATAAATAATAAAAAAATAAAAATAAAAAACAGGTCTGTGTGTGTGTGCGTGCGTGGATCTACATGCATAGCTGCACACGCTGAATAAACGGACATTTTTAACACCCAGCACAACAAGCTTGTACAAATACATGTGCATATTTATACACGCATACAAATGTAAGCGGAAGTGGGTTTAAAACTGGCAAATTCTCGTCTATTTATCCAGCTGAAAATATTAAAAAGTTGTTTAAAAATAAAGCACTTTGCAAATAGTTTGAATTGAACTCGAATGAACCTGGCTGTTTTGGAAAAATAAAAGTAAAATTAAAATTTAAAAATAAAAATAAAACGCCTGGCATTCTGCTGAATTATTATTTGTGCAGTAGAAGTTAGCGGCCGGTAATTTTCGAAAATTAATTTAACATCTTTAAATAACTTCTAAAAAATAACAAATGGACATAACTCGAGTATTTGGAGTACGCTATCGGCAAGATTAGGCGCTTTGTAATCGTGGAGGCAAGTGGCCTTCGCGACGCAGAAACAACAAATAGAGCAAGAAAAAACGTTTATTGGAGTAACTTTATTTTTTGTATGTTTTCGTCGGGGTCGCAGCTGCCGCGCCCCGCTGTCCGTGCTTCAAGAGGCCCTTAAAGTTGAAATAAAATTAAGAGATGCTGAGTAGTCGCTATTTTGGACTTTGCTCATTTTTTATGGCTTTGGCTGGCACTTTGTTGGGATTTACATTACGCTTTTTTTGTGGCCAGCCAAAGTTGTTCACAAATTTGCGGAGCATTAGGGTGCATTAATTTTTCAAGTGCGTTCAAAAATAATTATCATAATTATCGTTTAACTAATAATGAACCTCTGCAGCAGCAGCAGCAGCAGCTGTAAACGGAGTTAGTTAACTTTCCACAACGTCATTTTTTATTCGGTGTTAGCTGCTAGAGTCGACTGCGGGCCGTTTGCGTAATCTGTGGGAGGTGCAATTGAAAATTTATCAAGGTAAGCTGAAAAGTAAGACGATTAAAGTGTCGTAATAGATTAAATATAACCATTTATCTCTTCCAGTTGTTCCAAGTCAAGTTTCTTTTCAATTTGCAACTTAATTTTCAACTAGCTTAAACACAGTGTTGTAAACTTCCGAATGACGTGAGCGTATGGCGAGCTCTCAATAGTTTAGCTAGCTTTAGTATTTTATGAATTTTTCGGACAACTAAGTCTGGTCACATCTGGTATGCTGATAAAATAAAGCCAAGATCAAATGTCGTTAGTTCCAAAAGCTGAACATAAGAACACTTTAAATTAATATGCATTGGTAAATAATTTGAAGAATCAAACCACAAACTATTTATTGTGAAACAACTTTACCATTATAAGCCATTATTGGCTCAATTGTATATTGCCAATTATTTGTATTTATATCCCCATTCAGTTCTGTGCGCTAAGCATAGCGCTGACATTCTCGATTGTTGTTTAATTGAGCGGAATTCTAAATGAGCGCATGGGCTGACGACAATGGAAAATATTTGATTGGCTGGGCTTGGGCGTGGCCCGTGGGGGCTTCCATTAGCAGCACTCGACGCACGACAATACGATTTGAGTGCAGTTTTATATTCGTCGGAAAATACAATATACAGACATTTAAATGTATATGTATTTACAGTCGTGTTTGAATAAAAGATGTGAGTGGTTGTTCGATTGAATGCACATTTAATAGAAATCATAAAGGCTCTTCAAACACAGTTTACATTTAGTTAAGCATTTAAGTTTATCGCTAGTATATGTTTTACATATTTCCATATGAATATTTATATTCCAGTGTCTTTGACCTGGTTGCACTTAAGACTAACAACTATTATTTGTATGTGTACTCGTAGTATTATTATATATACATAATTTCTGTAAACAACATCAATAGATATACAGAGATATGTCATTTGGGATCTTAACTAGGCTGGGATTTGGTTTGCCTTTGGATATTAATACTTGTGAATAGCATTTGTCTTATGAGCTTTTTCTTGTATTTAAATTCGAATATTTTTATTACTTAATCATTTAGGTATTTTATATTGTTGGGGAAACGTGATTTGGATCCACCTAAAATACGTATACATTTTTTTAATGGGTTCTAGTAGCACTCTGAGTACTGTGATAGTTGATTTTTATCGTTCATTGGTTAAACTAATGTTAATCTAATCAGATCATAGCTGGCCGGGTTATATTCTATATATATATATGTATATGTCTAGCAAATATGCCCCATGGGATTTATTGTGCATGGTATATATACAACAAGTGTTGACTAACTGTTTTCTTAGGCTAACACTCACAGTGCCTACTGCACATCTACGTACCTCTAATTCCTCTGATTATACTCAAATACAGTGCTCAGCGTAAATGCATCTGTGTGAATGCATTTAGCTAAGCATAGCTATTGGTAAAAGCGTTTTGTGATAATGCTCCCCCCTTTTTGTCTTAAACTATTTAATACGTAAACTAAGCACAGTTGCTATTTAGTACACATTAAATAAATTCTGCAGAGGACAAAATTCAATTTAATTTGAGTTTAAATTCGTTTTGTTTTTGTTTTTCTTCTTTTGCTTAGCTTATGTCAATTGTATTTTATTTATCTATTTAGTTTTTCCCAACAAAACATAGATTTCCTTTCAACTCATCAGGTTTACAGCACATAGATATAATTGAAGAAATACAAGTTCATAAAATGTTGAAATATTTAAAGAGTCAGTGAGTGAATATTTCACAAAGTAAAAGTTTTGCCTTTGGCTAAGCACGCAGCATATGTTGGCCAATATGGCTGGCGGCGAGCGGAAAGGGAAGTTGCTGCCAGTGGAAGCTGTTTTCTCTTGTGGCTCGCCTCGCTAGCCCCCGGTGGCCAGGCTATTAAAGTTCAATGAAGTTTCAACGCCGTGTGACACTTTGGAGGCGGCCTATCAACGACGACCCCTCCGGCTAGCCGACGGAGCGTCAATGAAGTGAACAAAAGTATATATCCGGCGGCCATCAAATGGCCATAAATTTTACAAACGTTGCGCTGTCTGTTGAGAATTTGTCAGACACTCCTCGCCCTACCCCTCGTTTTTTGCCCACTCAGCGAAAAGCACTAAAATTGTTTCAGGCTTTTAGGTGTAGGTGCTACTAATGGCACCATTACCTGCTCACGGGCAGGAGGTGGTCCCCTCTGCCGGGCACGCTGCGAATTTGTCGCTTACTTTGTAGCCACATCACAAAATTACGCTTTAAACTTGGCCCTCAGCGAAAACTTTTTGAGCCAAATAGCTTTCATTATGGGTCTGCGCTTATTGTTGTTGTTGCTGCAAGTAGCTGTTTCTGCCCCAAGCCCCGCCTTCAGCGCCTTTTACGTGACCAGCTGAAAAATTGTTTCATCTTTCCACAGAAATAAAACCAAATGAATCAACTTTTCAAATAAAAATAGCAATCTGTTCAATAGCAGCAGCAGCAGCAGCAGCAGCAACAACAACAACAACAACAAGTCTCATAGACTTTGCGTACGTGTTGAATTTGGCATGTTTGTCGCATTTGTGATTCGCAAATTGGCATAAATTTAACGCATAATTGCGAAAATAGCCAAATAAACAAATAAACAAAAGCTCAGCTTGCATTGATTGCAATTTGTTTAAATAAATTGAGGGCAACAACAACAACAAGCAACAACTACATTTTCACAGTTATTTTTACAGGTATTTGTAAAATTGAAAAAAAGGAAATTGTTTGGTTTTATGCATACGTACGACCAGCTGCTAACTTATTTTTAACATATTATTTTTACATATTCCATTGCCAAGGTCGGAAAATGTTTCTATTTATATCTTAGTTCCATGGAAATGCACGTCCTTATAACGTTGTTTCCCAGACCTCGGCAGAATTCAAAGAATTTTTTGCTCTTCAATAATGCGGTTTGGAGTTCCAGGAGAACCACAATTAGGAGCGATATGTTAGCTTCTGTTAGCTTCTCCCGACCAGCTGGCCGGGCACGAATCCGAGTGGTCTGGTGTCGGTTTGCCTTGCAAATGTGCTCAATGCCAAATGCAAATTGAATTTCAAATTAATTAAAGCCCCAAGCCACACGGATACAGTCCAGTTTGGCTTTACTTAGAGCTGGCGCCTTTAAAGGTTCGCCGTTGAGCCGCTGTTCGAATGGGTTCTGTGCAAAGCCGAGACGGGCCGCTGAGTGAGTGTCCTGGAGTCGGCAAAGTCGACGTTGGCGCACTTGATGGGCGGCGGCTTGAGAGGATTGGGGTTTGACTTGAGCTTTCCGGGCTTGACGGGCGTCTGCTATCTGCTGGGCCGCCAGGCGCTGTTGCTGGAATAGCGGCAGAGGAGCACTTTCTTGAAGGCCTGCCGGAACACCTTATTGAATATGGTATAGAATATGGGATTCACCATGGAACTGGCATATCCTAGCCAGGTGACCACGTCGAATACCCAATGGCTGATCCGCTCCTCGCACTCCGCGCACACCGTTGGCAACAAGTTGAGCACAAAGAACGGCGACCAGAGTATGACAAAGGTGAAGAAGACCACGCCCAGGACCTTGGTGGCTTTCTGCTCCAGACGTATGATGCGTCCGTGTCGCGACGAGTTCCTCGAGATGACGCTCGAGTTGCGCGAATGATGCGAACGCACCGTTTGCTGTCGCTGCAACAGACAGGGCGACGATTGGGGCGTTCGCGACTTGCCGCCCTCCTGATAGTTCATATTTTGGTGACTGCGCAGCGTCGCCGAGCGGCGCAGCGGTGTCATTGTCGTCGTCGTCGTCATGGTGCTTGCCAGAGTCTTGGTGGGCGTCAGCAGCAGCGAGGTGCGCACGCCACCAAAGCTGCTGCCGCGCCGGCGATGACGACTCGCATCCCAGGTGACCACCGAGGCGGTCTTCGAGATGCTCAGCTTACGTCGTCCGGGACAGGGTGTGCCCGGTGCGGCCAGGTAGCCGCTGCCATCACTCTGGGAGCTGCCCTGCATCTGCTGCGCCGACCGCGGCGACAACGTGTTGCCCGATGCACAAGCTGCTGCAGCAGCCGCCCCCGCACCGCCTGCGCCCGCACTGATACTGCTGGTGAGAGCGCTCTTGTTGTTACTGGCGCTGCAGAGGAGCAGCTCCATTTCGCTGGGCGAGCTGCTCACTGCCGTGGTCGCCTTGAAGGCCGAGGAAACGATCTTCACCTCGGCCGTCTTTACACAGCTTGTCAGCGGACGATCGCCAAAGTAGGGGCAGGTGCACACCGGCGGCAGCTGGGGGTAATCCGTTGCATGACTGGAGCTGCTGGCCACATGGCACTGCCTGCCCGGCTGCGTCTGCGGCTCCAGCTCCGTGTCCGAGTGGCAACCCTTGCTAATGGACGAAGATTTCGAGGGTTTCTCCTCCTCCTCCTCGTCATCGTCGTCGTCGTCGTCGTCCAACTCGTTGTCATCACCGTCCAGGCTCTCGTGCAGCGTCTTGTGGTGCGGGTAGAGCGCATTTTTGGGCAAGCTATTGTAACGCTTGCGTCGTCGCAGCGTATCCTGATCCTCATCCTCAGCATCCTCGCTGCCAGCGCGTCGCTCACGTCCAGCAACAGCGGAAGAGGCGCGTCTGCGCTTCTTGTAGGCGCGCAGTCTTTGCGACAGCTGGGAGAGCGTGCTGCCAGCAAGAGAAGAATAAGAGAATACGAAGACATTTAAATATTGGGATATAATTAAGAAATATTCAAATTAGTTAAGTGTTTAACTTAGCAAAAACTGAAATCTGTTTCATGAGTAAGAACTGTAAAAAGGCCCCAAATAATTCGACATTGATCAAAAAATTGCCGGAATTTGTTTAGAAAATTAAAAATACAAATTTATTCATCTTAATCTATATTGTCCTCTTCAAAGTAATCCCCATCGACTGCCATACACTTAGGACAGCGCTTGATCCAATCCTCAAAACATTTTTTGCATTTGGTTTTCGGTTTGTCCATCAGCGCTTCTTGCGATCTTTCCTCTTTTACTCTTGGCTACGTTACTTTTGCAAATGTCAAGCTATGAAGCTGAGATTTGGAGGGAATATAAAATACAGATGTACCAACTTAACAAAAAAAAAAAAACTCAAATTAGAACGATGGAAGCGCCGCACAGTGCTTATTTGTGAAACTTTTTGATCAAGGGCGGTTTTCGATTCCTGTTTTTAAGTTTGATTGCCTCTCTTCGCTTATGAGAGATTTTTATACCCTGAACAGATTAAAAATGGGTATAAGGGTATATTGTATTTGTGCAAAATCCAAATGAATGTAACAGGCAGAATGAACTATCTCCGACCCCATAAAGTATATATATTCTTAATCAGCATCAATAGCCGAGTCGATCTAGCCATGTCCGTCTGTCTGTCCGTCCGTCCGTATGTAAAAACGCAAGGATCTCAGAACCTATAAGAGCTAGAGACTTGAAATTTTAGATGTAGGTGGTCCTAGTGCCTGCGCAGATCGAGTTTGTTTCCGATAATCGATAATTTACTCAATTTCCAAGCAATCGATAAAAATCGATATCGATATCCTGTTTTTTGGGCAATTTTTTTAAATAATAAGAGCTAGAGTCACCAAACTTGACATATAGCTTCTAAAATAGAATATGTATATGCATTTGATGTTGGAAGAAAAGCGTTCAGGGTATCCCCTAGTCGGGAGCTCCCGACTAGAACCTCTTTTGTATAGAAATAATATTGAAAATTCTTGCGTCCACAAAATGTTGTCCGCTTATGGGAGCTGTCCGTAGTAGAAACTTTCAAATAAATTGTTAATATATATTGCCAGTTTAACACGCCTCTTTGCCGGAATTTATTTCTTTTTTTTTAATTAAAATTGCTCAGTCAATTGGCAAACAGAGTGCCTGAAAGCGTGCTGCCTGTCCGCAAACACACACGCACACACACACGCGTGCACAACCGCACGCTTTGTGGTCATCTGGCTTTGTGCGCGCAGAAAAGTAGGCAACACTTTTTTTCGTTTGTTTTTGTTTTTCGTTGCCAGTCGCACAGTATCCACAAAATGCGCTTTGCGGTTCGCATTGTTGTTGCTGCTGTTGTGTTCTTTCTTTCTCTCTCTTTTTTCACTCTTGTTTTCTTAAGGCAAACATTGTTGCGCTCGCCTCTGTCCTCGCTGAGCGCTGCTCGCTTCTCATTTTGAATTCATTTTAATAAACGCGCACGAATTTGAGCGCTGGCTTCTGCGGCTGGCTTTCAGCTTTTCGCATGCCGCCATTTGTTTTGCATGCAAATGTTGAACCAGCCGCAACTTCATTTGCTGCTAATGAAGACGTCGGGCGAGGGGAGCAAGGGATGCGCGTGTCTGTGCCAGTTGCGAGCATTGCCAGCTTTCATTATGCATCCTTGACGCTGTCTGACTTGTTTTGCGTGAGACGCGCGCGCATAAATTGAGATTTGAAATGCAATGGCAGCTGGCAGTTGGTAGCTGGCTGTTGGCAGCTGCCGAGCTAAAAGGTGGCCCATCTCATTATGCAGAAGCCAAACAAAGCCAAGCTTATTATTGTTTCACCCACAAAGGAATTAAACAGTCGCCAAGCTCATCAACTTGGCCCAACTGGCAAATCGTCAGTCAAAGCTGGCTGTGTATTATCATGTTGCCTCATTTTGCTTTTGTGCAAAAAAACAAGATGGAACGGCTTTCTTAGGCAAGCCGAAAATTAAATGGCCTTGTTGAGACGTGGCTTGCGGCTTTCAGGATGTGTGCAAAATGTTCGACTGATTCTTCCTAAAGTGCTGCACAATATGGTATTCAGGATCAGGATATCTGCCTAAAAGAAAAGTTGATCCTACAAGAACTTGTTTTATAACAAATTGTTCCTGCCTTAAGTAAGGGTATCAGGGGTAAAATTCTAAAATTAGAATTCAGTCAGAATGGCTGGCACAGAGCCAATCCAAAGAAAAACATTTGCCAACATCATTTGTTAACTTCCTTCGCGGGGAAGGGGATGGGCTGCTGTCAAAAATGCAAGAGACGACAAATAGTCAAACAATTAAAAGCCGATACGACAACTCGTCACGACTCGGATCGAATTGCCAGACAAATCGGGCACACAATGGCCAAGCTCCAGCTTGGCAGCGAAGAGGCCCAATGTCTGCCTTTCTCCTCAGAAAAAAAAGCCACACAAAAAGCGAAATCCATTTTATTGATTGCGCAAATTCATTCAACTGTCAAACAAATTGCCGAATATGAAGACAGCACAAAAACAAGTAAGAGTGCCATAAGCGGCAGTGCCCGACCAGGAGATACCCTCAATTCAGCGCCAATTTAGGTTCCTTATTTCCCCTTAATGCAGCAGGGGCACAGCCCCTCTGCTACACACCAATCTTGGAGTAGATAGCTCTTACAATTTTCAAGATATCAAATGTCCAAGATAATATTTTAAGTCGGTATTTACCGATAATGTGAGTGCGTGAGGAGATATCGAAAAAAATCATATACTCAACCTGCGTATGTTTTGGGAGCATATCCATTTCAAATTTATTTTTTCTAACCTACCAACTTAGCTCGTCTCCCTGACCAAGAATATATATACATAATGGGTCACAAACATTTGCTTAAAAGTATGATACCATTTTTGACATTTTAACAGGGTATGAGAAACGGTCAGAAATATGAGAAAGAAGGTAAACAACAAATTGGCCTGAAACTGAACCTGCGTGGCATTAAAGTTTATTCAAACCAAACCGAATTTAAAATGAAATATTTAAATATTTATGAAATCGTTTAGTGAAAATTAAAAAAATGCTTAATGCTTAATTAAATTATTTTAGCTTTTGACGAACAATTTGGTCTTTGAACTCATTTGCCATGGGCTCAATTTAAACGTTTGGATTATCTATCTGGCGGATCTTCCAAGAAAAAGAATTTAATTTGTGTTTTTTTTTTTATATTAACATTTTTAATTGAGTATCTGTCGCTTCTACTGCCTCTTCTGCTGCTGCCTTGGCAATATAAGCCAGTCAACTAAAATTAGAAAATTATTTTAAGGAAAAACAGCAAATGCTGCTGATGCCGAGGCTAAAATCACTTGAGAACCTTTTTTATTTAAAATAAGCGAAAAAATTAATTATTACAAAAAAATGCACAACAATTCAAAGAAGGCGGAAGGACAATGAAAGGCAAATGGTCAAAAAACGGACCGAGGAGGCGAACCAGAATAAACGAGACACAACAAAATGTAAACAGAAGAGGCAAAAAAAAAAAGAACAAAATAAGTGCGAGTTGAACATTTGCCTCGGCTTTTGATGCGGTCAAGCGAGAGGGTCGTCAAGAGGGGGAAGGGGATGGTGAGGGTGCCAGGGCTGGCAAATGCTCGAGGATAATACGCTCGTCCGTTCCTCCTCTCTCCTCCCCCTTTTCTGTGGCATAAATGTTTGCAGCTGTTGTTGGCCTTTTGTCAGCCAGAGAAATCTGAACTTGCGGCATTTACTTGAATTCTGGCCAGCGAAAGGCCCACACTGGAGTCTTTTCTAAAGAGCTGAAGAGCTCCTTAAAAACATCCTCTCTGCGTGTGTGTGTGTGTGTGTGCATATTGTGTGGCAATTGAGTTGCAAGTTTCAATTGCAACATTATAAAAGTAAGCTATAATGTTAGTTATACCCTTTGCTTAAAAGAAAATGCTTTGGAGAGGGCATATTGCAGTCGTGCAAATGCATGTAACAGGTAGAGGAAATCAGAAAATTATTTGCTTTGCAATGCAGAACATTTTTGTTTTACGATTCTTTTGAAATTTTCTGTGTTCTAGAATATGATTTTTTCTGTAAAAGCTAACATAAACCTGCTAACATAGCAAGCAGCTGCTAAACTAACAGCTGCTCAACAGCAGCACTTTCTTAACATATTTTAAACACTTGCAACGAATTAATGAATAGCTAGAGACTTGAAAGGCAGAGGAAGAGTCCTATAATGTAGATTCTTGTCTGCCCATCGATTTCTGAACTCTAAAAGCTGTACTATAAAAACTAGTTAATTTTTAATTATCGATTATGAAAGGTCGCTGGTTCGAGCCACAAAGAGTGAAACCATTTCCTACAATCATTCCTTGCTGCATAATTATGTTTAACAGGGTATCCCCTAGTTGGCCCCTATAATTGTTTGTTTTCGGCTTGTTAGCCCTCGTTGTTAAACTGTGCTCGAAGAGGCTCAAGTGTTTTCTTTTGGAGCGTTCGCATCGACTGTTTCTTTTGGTAATTTCTGCTTTTTGATTCATTTAATGTCCTTTTGCCTAATTTGTCCTTGAGGCCAGTTTTCAATTAGGCTGCCCGCACACTTACCCGTCGCTCTGCTCGCCCATGCGGCTGCTAGCCAAAGAGTTGCGCGTGCTCTCGCGCTCCAGACCGATCGTTGTGCTGGACAGCGCCAACATGGTGTTGCCCTGTCTGCTCTTGGGCGATGTCGGCTGCAGGTAGCTGCCTCCATGTGCATGCTGCAACTGCACCTGCTGCTGCACCTGCTGTTGTTGTGTGGCATACCGCTGGGGGCTGCCGGAGAAGGGCAGATGGGTTGAGATTGAAAATTCGGATTTGGTGGGTGAGCCCGTCGTTGAGGACGATGCCACGGACTCCAGACCGCGGGAAAGCTTCAACATCTCGGCCCCAAACTGATGCAGCGCCGTCATCGTCGTGGGCGTTGGCTCTGGTATGCTAAAGGGTGAACGTAAAAAATTGGATACCTGCGGGAGACATTTGGCTCAGGCTCTGCTCACCTGGAGTCGGGCAGCCAGAGCTCATGATTGTCGAGCGTGCTGAGATCCGTATCCGTTGAGTTTGCCGAGTGCGCGTGCAGCGCCGAAGAGGAGGCGTTGCTCTGGCCCGGTTTCAATAATCGCCGCCAAGTGCAACGACGTTCTGTAATAAAATATAAAATCAAAATCATTAAATTGCAGTCAAGCGAAGGGCGAAAAAAAATCACATGCCCTCAATAAGCCAGCTAAATGCGCTTATAAGTTTGCACGTGCACACACACACACACAAACACACATACACACACGCACATAGAAAGCGAAAGGGAAACGTCCTGCTACGTGCCTGCGCCAATTTCAGTTGCTTTACAGCAGATTTAGCTTAAAGTAACTGCACAGAAAAATAACACACTCGTCGCCAGCACTGTGGGCATTTCATGCAGATTTACTTATAAGTATTCAGCCTTTTTAAAATAACTTAACATAAACCTGCTAACATAGCAAGCAGCTGTTAAGCTAACAACTGCTCAACAACAGCACTTTTTAAGCATATTTGAAACACTTATTGTCTGTATTTTTGACAAATGACGAATTTATTTTAATTAATTATTTTACATAAAAAAACAGCTTAATCAATATTTTAAGTTTTTTTTTTTTTCAAAAATGAAAAGTGTTTTGTGGCTCATTTTTAAAAGGAACTAAAGACATGCAATTGTGCTAAGGTAAATAAGAGGCAGAAGAAAGCATCTTCGACCACATAAAGTATATATATTCTTGATTAGCATCAATAGCCCAGTCGATCTCGCCATGTCCGTATATCTGTCAGTCCGTCCGTCCGTCCGTAAGGAGCTCAGAACCTATTTGAGCTAGAAACTTGAAATATGGAACGTAGGTTCCTAGTGCCCAAGCAGTACGAGTTTATTTTTGATAATCGATAACTTGCCACGTGTACAAGTATTCGGTAAAAATCGATATTGAAATCCTTTTAGAGCAAGAGATTTGAGGTTTTTAGAGCTAGAGTCACCAAACTTGACATGTGGCTTCTAGTTAATATATGAAACCGTTTTACAAAACAAAAAAATTAACAAGGTTTACATTTGTTCCATAGTACAGAGAAACACACAGCTGCAGCAGCACTTAGGCACCGTCGCAATGCGCTCGACTTGCGCTTTGTACCGTCGATTAGCTATCAAATGCCCTGCCCCACAGCCGCACACGGAACTCCACTGCAATGCAGTTGTAGTCGCTGCTGAGAGCCAATTAAATATGCTTAGTTTGTGATTTTCATTTTATTGATTATTGTTATTGCTTTCGAGTGCAACCCAGTCTTATCGCGGCGTTTAAGCCCAATGCTAAAAGGGCGCAAATTATGTGCTCGAACTCCTGCGGGGCTCGCTCCGATGATGTCAAGTACAGAGGCTGCCAAAATAAATGGCTTGAGTGTGATAGAGAACTCTTTTGCAGAGTGTCCCGCTTTATTTACGGCTTCACTTTAGCATAGCTGCTTGCTCTTAGGCAGATATTGTTCATAATCTGATGGGTAACAAATCCTATATCTGTATTGGGATTGGTTCCGCTCGAAACACGCTCCTGACTGTCCAAACAATTTCAGTTTGCAATTTCAAATTATTCAGCCTTTGGTAAGCGATATTTACTCAAGCCCCACATTGCAGCATTGCAGGACATTCAAGCTGATGCTCCTCTAGGCGAGCAGCAGCACTGAAATTAGCTATCAACACACACACATACACACACACACACAGGCACACATACATGCACATAAAACCAAACTCAATTCCTGCCGATGGCTCTCTGTGTGCATTGCTGTGGCTTAGACGCCTCTGCATATCTTGGCTGGCATCCTGGCAGCTCGCATGCCCTCGCCCCCATTTCCCAGCTGCCATTTTATGTTAACTTTTTGGACAGTCGACAGTGCAACAGAAATTTCTAATATGATGTTTTGGCAGCCAGCAAATCACATTAAATGTCGACAGCTGTCTGCCAGTGGGCGTGGCAAGTGTTTTTTTTTTATTCAACGGAGTTTTTTTCAATTGGGCATTTTTGTGGCTAAATTTAGCAATTTATTTGCATTTAAATAAAGTTACATACATATAAATTAGGTTTAAAAGAAACTTAATTATTCACCTTAAAAAAATTTTATCAAAACTCTTTTACGAAAAAACCAACAACTGGAATTATACAAAATATTTTTGCAATTTTTTACACGCTTTAGATAGATGATTTTATTTGCAATGCCGACAACAAACTAACAAACAAATTATTACATCAAATGAAAGGAGCAAAAATCGTTGTGCGATGTTAGAACCGCGGGGAAACCCCTTTATTTTTTTTAATTTTGTCGTTGACTACTCAATTACGTATTTGTTTGTCACTTTGAAAACACATGTTCAAGTGTAGGGTGGCATGAACAAAATGCAAAGAATTTTATTTGGAGAAGAAAACCTTTTTCAAATTAAATTAGCAAAGATTTGAAAAAATTTTTGTAAAAATCGCGTTGTAAGAGTAGCGTTGTAAAAAAATGTCCGCATTTTGTGAACCGCGTTATAGGAAACCGCGTTTTAGGAGGTTTAACTGTATATCCTAAGGGATCTTATGATCAGTGAGTTATATATTACGTTTGTCTTGGATGTGGAACATATGTACATACCCAAAGCGGGCGCCTGGCCCAACCAGCCGCTGGCCCAGCCGGGCGTGGCCGCTGACGTCGGCTGGCCACCGCCCAAATTCTGGCGCTGTCTGGCCAAGAGGCGCACAGTCAGACAATATGTGAGCAGCATCACTCCCAGCGGTATGTAAAAGCAGACAATGGAGCCGACCAGTTTGTATACCGGGTCCGGAATCTGGCAGGTGCCATTAACTAGCACCGAGGCGTGATCCTGGCAAGAAGAACAGCTCGTTAGACAAACCAAAAAAATGAAAATAAAAGGTTTGAGGCTCACCTTGGAGTACATGAGGCTGAGCGGCAGGCTCATGGCAATGCTCAGCAGCCAGACAAAGACAATCTTGAGGGTGACGCGGCGCCGTGTCTTGTTACGGCCAAAGCGCATCGGATAGCGCAGCGACAGATAGCGATCCACGGATATGGTGCACAAATGCATAATGCTGGCCGTGCAGAACAGAACATCCAGGCATATCCAGGTCAGGCAGTGCTCTGAGCTAAGCGGAAAGTGGCCTGCAAAAAGAGAGTGAGAGTGAGAGAGAAGAATAAATAAGTTTCTCTTTAACTTTTATTAAGTAGACTTTGCTTGTAAATAACAATAAAAGAAGAGGGCAATACTCAAGAGTGAACGAATAGGAAATACCCTATACATCTATGAAAAATGTATCCTTAAATAAATCTTCCGTTCAAAGGTGGATTGTTGAAAGTTTGAAAGTTTAATCAACTTCCTTGAATATAATGAAAATGACTGAAGCTGCATGAGAATTCTTTTAACGCAATCTCAATATTTACAGGGCATAAAAGGGAAGCTGTTGTGGACCAAGTGAATGCAAGAATTTCCAACTAGCCAACGAAAATAGGCGGCCAACTGTCGCTTGGCCATTTGATTTGATTTCTTTTTGTCCGCCCCTCTTCCCCCATATGGCCACGGCTGCTTCTAGTCCTCCCTGGTGGCTTATGCAACATATTTGTGGCAGCTCCTTCATATGAGCACCCTCCGGGTCGCCCTTTCAACAGTCGTTTTGCGCAGCTGTTGGACGTCATAACTCAGCGAGATGCTCTAAAAGCCAAGTAAGGCCGGCTTTAATGTATTGTGCCAGGCAAGGGGTGTGTGTGTATGTGTATGTGTACTGCACTGAGTTATTCCCATGTGTGTGTGTGTGTGTGTGTGTGTGTGTATTTTGTAAGATTTGTGTGCAGGATTTTGTGGCTGGAATTTGACTGGGCATGAATATTGTATTGCTGCTGATATGGGATTTCGCTGGGACCTGCATGCTTTTGAAATATATGACTTGAGGCAAGAAATGTGAGTACATTTTAAGGCATTCAGACAGGTTATTTACTACGTTAAATCTCAGTTAACGTTACCACAACTAGCTCAGTTGAAGTAAGGTTGGAATACCAAGCTTCAGCTTAAGCGCTTCAGAAATAACTTTCCAGCCTGTATTCTGATTGTTTTCTACAAGTAACAGATATGCGTAACTATCTTCTATTGCATAAAAAACAATACAATCCTAATTGCAATGCTCTTGATAGAATTCAATAAATATGCGCGTGAATGTGGGCGTGTTTCTTAACCGATCTTGATGAAATTTTCAACAGAAATTTTCAATAGATCTTATTGTACAAAGAGTCAATTGCATTAAAATTAAGGCTTCAATTGGTGGGCAATACAACTTCGTTTATTTACTTGATTTATAGCTATGTGGTGGTAGCGGGAAAGTGGCGATACCTATAAAATGAAAGATAGATTTATTTACTATTCTAGAAGCTACATGACAAGTTTGTGGACTCTAGCTCTAAAAAGCTAAGAGATTTGCTCAAAAAACAGGACTTCGATTTCGATTTTTATCGATTACTTGGAAACGGGCAAGTTATCGATTCTCGAAAACAAATTCGTACTGCGCGGGCACTAGGAGGACCTACGTATTTAAAAACAAGTAAGAGGTTCTAGTCGGGAGCTCCCGACTAGGGGATACCCTGAACCCTCTTATTCCAACACCAAATAAACTGACCGCATTTCTTACTGTCGACTCTACTCAACAGCCACACCAGCAAAAAAAAATAATAATAATACTTTCCCCGGTAGGGCTCGAACTCGCGACAGACCGCACCACTTGCTATGCCTCTACTCAACAGCCACACCAACAATGAGGTACTTACGACAAAAAAGGAACCAAAATAAAATTACAAAAAAAAGATGCAATTACCATGCTATTTGAATGCGAAGCAGACGTGCATGCATGTGTGTGTGTACATGTATACAGAAATTCTTAAAGCTGTTGCCCCATTCAATTGCGCAGTTGCATATAACTTTGGTTTTTCTTAACCGATCTTTATGAAATTTTCTACAGTATATCTTATTGTACCATAGAATATTTGTGTATTCTGAAAAAATCAATTGCATTTAAATTGTGGTTTAAATTGGTCGGCAATAAAATTTGGGTTATTAACTTGATTTATAGCTCTGTGGTGGTAGCGGGGAGGTGGGGATAGGTATGAAATGAAAGATACTTGAAATATCTATAATATTCTAGAAGCAACATATCATGTTTGGTGGCTCTAGCTCTTATTATTTACCCAATTTGCTAAAAAAAAACAGGATGTCGATATCGATTTTTATCGATCGCTTGGAAACGGAGTAAGTTATCGATAACCGGAAACTCGATCTGCGAGGGCACTAGGACCACCTACATCTAAAATTTCAAGTCTCTAGCTCTTATAGGTTCTGAGATCCTTGCGTTTATACATACGGACGGACGGACAGACAGACAGACAGACGGACATGGCTAGATCGACTCGGCTATTGATGCTGATTAAGAATATATATACTTTATGGGGTCGGAGATGCTTCCTTCTCCCTGTTACATACATTTGGATTTTGCACAAATACAATATACCCTTATACCCATTATTAATGGGTTTAGGGTATAATTACAGACGAATATGGCTAGATCGACTCGGCTATTGATGCTTATCAAGAATATATGTACTTTAGGGGTGGCAGATGCTTCCTTCTGCCTGTTACATATTATATATTTGCACAAATAAATTTTTACCCATTTTTAATGGGTCCAGGGTATAAATACCGGGTTCGAGCCTGAACAGCTAACAGCACCAGTAAGTCTTGATTGAGCTGAGCTAATTCAAGTATATTAAGAGCTAGCATGCTTTTATCCTTTACACAGTGCGCGGCACTTCACATCTAAACGTACCTAATACATATATCAAGAGCACGACTTTCACCTGGTGTTCGATAGCAAATTGCTCGGGTAACATGACAAACTGCCTGCCAATCAACAGTTTCTGGCTGACGACATTCATAATTCGAGTTCCTTGGGCCATCAGCATTTGTCAAACCCTCCAATTGCAAACCATTTTGACCCAAACTCCTCTTCTATAGGTGTTACAAATACAAATGATACGGTCAGTGCGTCAGGGCAAGCCGAGCGATTTATGTCCGGACCTAAAGTGTCAATTAAATCGATTTGGGACGCCCTTTAAGCCGGAACGTGGGCAGCGTTGCTAAAGCATTGAAAGTAAATTTCGCTAAAGCGCCAAGCCAAAGGGAAGCAGCTTGAATTAAATATATATTTAGTGGGGGCGCAGGACGAAAGGTAAGAGACTTATAACGGATACGCATGCTACCAAAGTTCTGTTTCCCTCGATTCCAGTTCCTGTGGCGGAGCCGAACAAGTTAATGTGCTCAGGTCTCGAGTGCCCGACTGGCAGATACCCTACATCTCAAGCTTGCTTCCTTTCCACTTTATGCAACGCCTGGTCAAGAACATATGTGCCTTTCTCTGCCTGTCACATACACTTCCACTAAAAAAATATACCTTCCTTACCCCTTTTTAGGGTATACAAAAACACAAAAGGGCCCAACTGCATGCCTGAGGTCGACTTGGGGGTTAGACAACGCTTTTATTTGTGTTTCGATCTCTTTTATTTTGTTTCTCCGACTCCCTTCCTCTCGCCCGAGCTGTGTTGTGTTTTGTTCATTCACAAAAAACATTTCAACTTACAAATGCGAAACAAATTTCAAACAAAAGCGCAAAGTTCTTAGCTCGAAATAAATTTTTAGCTGATTTCTTTTGTGTGTTTTATTTTGTTTTGCATACTCTTTGGGCCGGGGCCCGGGCCGAGGTCCGGGGGCCATAAAAACTAAACTCAAACACAAATAGCAGTTGAAAGCTGGTCGCTGAAACTTGGCAACCGAAATGACTTTGTAAATGCGTTGAAACTTATTTAATTTGCTGCAAGTTTAAGTGGGTCAAATGGAGGGCGGCCAGTCCTAATAATGACTTTTATATTTATCAAATCAACTAACAGACCGGCGCGCCAAGATTCAAGTCATGCCGGAAATACGATGAAAATCTGGTTGCTTAGCTTTTATACCCTGTAGGCATTAAAATGGGTATATTACAACTGGAGTTGTCTGTAAAAGCCAGACGAGCCAACTGTGATGTCATCTTTGATTGGCAAGACGAGCTTAATCGATCGAAATATGCATTAATCTCAGAGACTAGATGAGCTAAGAACTGAGCTACAGGCTGTCAGCAGTCTTAGAGGGAGTACGTAAGACGGTATTTTTTGTATACCCTATAGACATTCAAATGCATTAAAAATGTGTGTATTCCAACTATAAACCAGATGAGCCAATTGTGATGTTATAATTGATTGGGAACCATTAACCTCTGAGTCTAAATGAGCTAAGAACTGGACTTCAGGCTGTCATTCATTTCAGACAGGGTATGTAAGACGGCCAACTTTTTTTGATTTGCTGTTTGCATTTTTGGAGCATATATCTGGAGGCATATTCCTCACCAAAGTCATAAAATTTGTCACGCAGCTCTCAAGAATCAAGAATATTTTACTTCATAGATAATTTTTTGATATTTACACATTTGAATACCATCTGCTAGTCTCAATAACTTGATAATATTCGTGCGATAAACTTACAAGTTATTAGAGAATACAGTTTTAGTGTATTCATTTAGTATAGTATAGTATAGCGTATTTCTCAGTCGACGAGACTTTTGTTTCTCTTTCATTTTGGATCGCTGCTTATGACAACATAAGCTGTTGTATGACAAACCAAACGAACGACCGAAACAACAACAGCAGCAACAACTACAAATATTTGAACACTTTTCTGCGTTAGCAAACAATGCGCGTGCAGCGCTCCAAGCAGCGAGAGGACGCAACAACAAGGCCTGCTGCTGCTGTGGAAATATGCCAAAAATGATTTATGGCTGTTGTTGTTGCTGTTTGTTGTTGTTGTTCTTGCTGTCGGGCATCGATTTCAATTTGAGTTCGAATTTCGTTTCTGCTCCTGTAGCGCATCAACAATTAGACACATTTGGGCCAACTGTTTGCGCTTGGCTAAAAGGGTTCTCCTCTGTGAATTTGTTTATGCCAAACTATTTGGCATATTATTTATAATACTGTTTACCTGTTTTGCAGCTCTTGAATTTCAGTTGGAAATCCGACTGCGACGCGGTTCAATGGGC